TCCTCCTCCTTTTTTCCTTCCTTTTCCTCGTTCTCTTTCCCCTCTCCCTCCCCTCCCCTCTCTTTCTTTCTTTCTTTCTCTCTCACGTAAAATCTCACCCGGAAGAGGGACCAAAATCTATAAATATTACGCACCAATATATTAGTTGTTTACAAGAATAACTGATCGTAGGCGAAACTTCAGTACAGTGTGTTACATTATCATCACAGGACACCGTTGACAGGTAAAATAGCCTCTCAAGACTCTTACCTGTCGTGGTGGTGATGGGAGGCTTTGGCAACTGTCAAGAATATATTGTGGTATTTTAATAGTGGTATTGCAAGGGTTTTACGATGGTGGGGAATTTTTAATGGTTACTGGCAGGGAATATTTTGGTAGCTGGCAGGGAATATTTTGTGACAGTGATGCATCGGGCCATCGTGTTGGTGGTAGTGTTGGTCAGTGAGTTAGGACTGAATGGTGGGTTAAGTTAGGGTGATTAATCTTCAGGTGAGAAGTGGTGGGTGAGTAGATCTCTTTTCCTGAGGACTCTTGTCTACCTTCTACCTGTGTTACCTCTAAAACACAACTTGATGCACCAGATCTTCCTCTTTTTCCCAACATTATCCTCCCCCCCCCCCACCCTCCCACTCTCTCTCACGGATCTGACCTCAAAATAATACCACAATCAGACACACTCGGATGATGACAAAGCCAATAGCTCTGTGTCCTCCTCCTCCTCACCCTCCTCCCTCAAGTAACAGTGGTAGTTAAGGAAGCATTTCTCACAGCTCGCTCAACAATCTTAGTGAGATCAGCGGCGATTCTCCGTCTCTCTCCCCAGCATGATATGACTCCCATTCATGTTAAACACAGTATCGAGGTGTAAGAAGAGGGAGGGCCGTGTTGAGTTGTGGTCCGCCTCTTAAGATTGTTTTTTCTTTCTTGGGTCCTGGAATGTAATACAGCTTTGGTTTTTCTGTTAGTTTTGCCTCTCTCCCTCCGTTCCTGCTTCTCCCTTACCTTCCCTTGCTTCTCTCCCCCCCCTATCTGCTTCTCCCTTCTTGCTTCTCTCTCTCCCTACCTGCTTCTCTCTACCTTCCTGCCTCCCTCCCACCATTGTTTCATAGTGAAATACACATCATGAGGTTTTACAATTATACACTATACTTGAATAACTTGATCCACAGCTCTCTTGTACTTGATCTAGATGAGGTACAGCTCCCTGTGTGTGTGTGTGTCTCTGTCTCATTTAATAAACAGTCGGACAATCAACATTTATGTTATAATTGGCCATGACGTAAGCACTCACCGTATTAAGAAACATTACAATTAGTTAATAACACTGTGGCTGGACTGATGGTGGTTGTGGCCGCCAGCAGGGAGAGTTAACCCCCGCCACTTGGGAAGGGACCGACGCCTCTCCTCTCCTCTCCAATGTATTGTTAACCGTTTAACTGGAGTCGCTAAGAGATTACCACACCTTATTGCTGTAATTATGTGCAAAGGTCCTCTCGCCTCGTCTCTCCTTGTATCCCGGGCTAACACTAGACTGTGACCCAGTACTCCGTCTATCATGTGCTGACACTCTTGCCTGACGAACGAAGCTCAGTGCTCGCAAATGTGAAATATTTATTAACTCAAAACTGTGCATGCTAGGAAGTTCCTCTTTGAAGCCTTGTTAATACTTGGCTGTACGTAAATTACACACACACACACACACACACACACACACACACACACACAAAACAGTTTTTTCCTGTGAAATATTTTAAGGGTTTATTTGTGAAGGCAAATCATACTATTAAGATGACTCTGCGGGTGTCAAGAATAATGGTAATGGCTGGCCGTCACGTTATGTGTGTGTTTAGATGATACACAGACATATATAAACACACACACACACACATGCGTAATATATTAGTATATGTGTTTGTGTGTGTGTAACAGAGAGCAGGCCATAAACAAGTGTGTGGTAGAGATTTACTCACGAGAGACAGGAGTAGAATTTAGGGTACCAAGATATTCTCTTCCCCCCTCCCCCCTTCCTCCTCCTTCCCTACACATCCATACCCCGGTGAGGACCTTCCGTGAGTGTCCCATCCATCCATCCATTATTTTAAGCCATAATTAATGACTGTTATATAGGGTCGTGTTCTTCACCATATGATTGTGTTATTTTACCTGCCGTCACACCTGACTAGTTTTCGTCTCTTCTTGGAATTTGATTTAATTGTCGGCCACCTGTCTTGACACTACCGTCCCCGCCACCTCGACAGCCTCCGCCACCTCCCCCGCCTCTGCAGTAGTGTGACCCCTGACTCCCCCGTGTGTGGTAGAGGACTCCCCCCCACCACCCCTCCTCTTCCTGCACCAGTACTGTACCTGGCTTTGCATCTTAATGAGAGAGTCATGCGGGAGTCTTGCTGTCACTGCTGTATCAGCGACAGCATATATCTGAGTTGACTTACAGTACTTACGCACGTGCGCCCACACACAGTCCTCCTCCCTTCACCCCCCACTCAATGTGCTGGCTTGGAAAACCGTGCCTCCACGCACGCTTACACCCACACGCTACACCTCATTATCACGCTACACTGCCTTACTTAATATACTCGAGGCTGCACCTTAGTATCAAGTCACCGTTGAGGAGGGAGGGAAGAGTGGTTGGAGCCAAAGACATGATTAAATTAGTCCAAGTTGGAGGCACACAGTGAGTGGCCACCATGTTGGAGTCCTGTATCCCTCTGACTCACCCTGGGAGGGCAGCATCCTGACTCACTCTGGGAGGGCAGCACCCTGACTCACCCTGGGCGGGCAGCACCCTGACTCACCCTGGGCGGGCAGCACCCTGACTCACCCTGGGAGGGCAGCACCCTGACTCACGCTGGGCGGGCAGCACCCTGACTCACGCTGGGCTGGGAGGCAGCACCTGACTCATCCTGGGAGGGCAGCACCTGACTCACCCTCCTGACTCACCCTGGGAGGGCAGCACCCTCCCACTCACCCTGGGAGGGCAGCAGCACCTGACTCACCCTGGGAGGGCAGCACCTGACTCACGCTGGGCAGGCAGCACCTGGCCCATCCTGGGAGGGGGCAGCACCCTGGCACTCACCCCTGGGAGGCAGCATCCTGACTCACCCTGGGAGGCAGCACCCTCACGCACTCACCCTGGGAGGGCAGCACCCTGACTCACCCTGATCGGGCAGCATCCTGGCTCACCCCTGGGAGGGCAGCACCCTCACTCACCCTGGGAGGGCAGCACCTGACTCACCCCTGGTCAGCGCACCTGGACTCACCCTGGGCAGGCAGCACCTGACTCACCCTCAGCACCCTGAGCTCACCTGGGCGGGGCACCCTGCACCCCTGGGCGGGTGGCACCTGACTCACCCTCACCTGGCTCACCCTGGGCGGGCAGCACCCCTCACCCTGGGCAGGCAGCACCCTGGCTCACCCTGGGCTGGGAGGCAGCACCTGGGGAGGCTCACCCTGGGCGGGTCAGCTCACCTGGGAGAGCTCACCCTGGGCAGGCAGCACCTGGCCTCACCCTGGGCGGGCAGCACCCAGCTCACCCTGGGCGGGCAGCACCCTCACTCACCTGGGAGGCAGCACCCTGACTCACCCTGGTCGGGCAGCCTGACTCACCCTGGGCGGGCAGCACCCTGACTCACCCTGGGGCAGCATCCTGACTCACCCTGGGAGGGCAGCACCTGACTCACCCTGGGAGGGCAGCACCCTGACTCACCCTGATCGGGCAGCATCTGGCTCACCCTGGGAGGCAGCACCCTCACTCACCCTGGGAGGCAGCACCCTCCTCACCCTGGTCGGGCAGCACCTGACTCACCCTGGGCGAGGCAGCACCCTGACTCAACCTGGGCGGGCAGCACCCTGACTCACCCTGGGAGGGCAGCACCCTGACTCACCCTGGACGGGCAGCACCTGACTCACCCTGGGCGGGCAGCACCCTGACTCACCCTGGGCAGGCGCACAGCTCACCCTGGGCGGGCAGCACCCTGACTCACCCTGGGCGGGCAGCACCCTGACTCACCTGGGCGGGCAGCCCTGACTCACCTGATCGGGCAGCATCCTGACTCACCCTGGTCGGGCAGCACCCGCTCACCCTGGGCGGGCAGCACCTGACTCTGATCGGGCAGCATCCTGACTCACCCTGGGCGGGCAGCACGACTCACCCTGGGCAGGGGCAGCACCTGACTCACCCTGGGCGGGCAGCACTGACTCACCCTGATCGGGCATCCTGAGCTCACCTGGGCGGGCAGCACCCTGACTCACCCTGGGCGGGCAGCACCCTGACTCACCCTGGGCGGGCAGCACCCTGACTCACCTGATCGGGCAGCATCTGACTCACCCTGGTCAGGCAGCACCTGACTCACCCTGGTCGGGCAGCACCTGACTCACCCTGGGCGGGCAGCACCCTGACTCACCCTGGTCGGGCAGCACCGCTCCCTGGTCAGGCAGCACCTGACTCACCCTGGGCAGGCAGCACCTGACTCACCCTGGTCGGGCAGCACCCTGACTCACCCTGGGCAGGCAGCACCTGACTCACCCTGGGAGGGCAGCACCCTCACTCACCCTGATCGGGCAGCATCTGACTCACCCTGGTGGGCAGCACCTGACTCACCTGGGCGGGCAGCACCTGACTCACCCTGGGCGGGCAGCACCCTGACTCACCCTGATCGGGCAGCATCCTGACTCACCCTGGTCGGGCAGCACCTGACTCACCCTGGGCGGGCAGCACCTGACTCACCCTGGGCAGGCAGCACCTGACTCACCCTGGGAGGGCAGCACCCTGACTCACCCTGGGCGGGCAGCACCCTGACTCACCCTGGGCGGGCAGCACCTGACTCACCCTGGGCGGGCAGCACCCTGACTCACCCTGGGCGGGCAGCACCTGACTCACACCCTGGGCGGGCAGCAGCACATAACACAGTCATAACTTGTGATTAAGGTTGATGGGCAGTGACAATTCCTATGTAATAATGTGTGTCGTTTGTTTTGTCCCAGGAGAACCACTGCGAGATCGAGCGCAGGTGTGTCTCTCTCTCTCTTGTTATGTTTATTATTTAATTGCCCTCAGCCAGGCCAGAGGTGCCTTAGCATTAGTTGGTGTGTAAGCGAGGTGGTGTGTCCTCGTGTGTGTGTGTGTGTGTGTGTGTGCGTGCGTGTGTGCGCGTGCGTGCGTGTGTGTGTGTGCGTGTGTGCGCACGCGCGTGTGTGTGTTTTGTACTGCAGTGTGATGATGTTTATGTGATATGTGTTGCACGCTTATATAAATGTATTGTTTTCTCTCTCTCTCTCTCTCTCTCTCTCTCTCTCTCTCTCTCTCTCTCCCTCTCTCTCTCTCCCCTTTGTTTCTTTCTTTCTTTCTTTGCATGGTAGTCTTTATATGTGTATTGCTCCGCTATTGCATGAATAGTGTTATTAGTGTTATGAGCCAATTAAGTGATAATAACCGTACCTGTGTGTTATAAGGTAGTGTATTGGTGTAGCCAGGTGAGTGTAGGGGTGTTTTTAGGTGTTTATATAGGTGTCTCGACTGATCTTGATTACCCATGTTTTTCTTGAGATGATTGTAATGTATAGAGTTCAGTAAATGACTTTGATCTCCAAGGTATGTTAAGTTACTTGCTCACCTGAGTCGATCTTCACTTGTTGATCTTCATTTAGTTGTTGTATTATTGTGTGTATGTTAACGCTGCTCTCTGCTAGTTCGCTCATTAGGTCATTAGTACTTCATGTGGTTCCGCCAGTCGCCTTGTTTCCCCCCTCCAGACAGGCAGCTCTTATTAGTGTGTTATTTTGTATATTACAATACTTATATCAAGGTCACATGTCCTCCTGTAGCTGATGGTGGTGTGTGTTGTGGTGCTATATTTGGTGGTGGTGAGGGTGGTGATGGTGATGGTGGTGGTAGTGATGGTGAAGGTGGTGGTGGTGGTGAAGGTGGTGGTGGTGAAGGTGGTGGTGGTGGTGGTGAAGGTGGTGGTGATGATGATGGTGGTGTGTGTTGTTGTGCTATATTTGGTGGTGGTGAGGGTGGTGATGATGATGGTGGTGGTGTGTGATGTGGTGAAGGTGGTGTGGTAGTGGTGGGTGGTGAGGGGTGGTAGTGTGAGGTAGTGGTGTGTGAGGTTGGTGGTATGAGGTTGGTGGTGGTGGTGAAGGTGGTGGTGATGATGATGGTGGTGTGTGTTGTTGTGCTATATTTGGTGGTGGTGAGGGTGGTGATGATGATGGTGGTGGTGGTAGTGATGGTGGTGAAGGTGGTGTGGTTGGTGGTGGTGGTGATGGTGGTAGCAATGTTAGTAGTTGTTGTGTGGCCAGGGTGTGTTAAGTTGAGTGAGTGGCCCAAACGGATCATATTGTACAGTACTACCAACGCACTCTAGTGTTGTGGCTGCCATGCCGGGGAGGGGGGGGGAGGGGTGTAGCAGGGGTCACAAGGTTGTAAGGCGGACCTCGCTCACCCTGGGGTAAATGTCACTCGGGGTACTAGACTTCCTACTGCTGCTTGTGTGGTTTTTATCCCAGAGATCAATTCTACTTATCATTTGGACGTTAATATCGATAATCGTCATTTTTTTTTTAACATTCGTGGTCATTATTTTACTGCTAGTTACTTCGGTTTTAATGCCACGGTGCCACCTATTTCCCGGGTTGTAGTGCCAGTGTTGATTGTAGATTCCGCCTTGAGAAATGTATATTATTTTACATGAGAAAGTTTGTAAGAAGTAATGAAGAGGTAAAGTAGAATAGTGAAGTAATATCAGTATACGATTATTGTGGTAGATGGGAGGTGTCATAGTGATGGATAGATTAGTGGAATGAGGCGATTATTGGCTTAGAGTTAATACTGGGAAGGTGGAAGTGTTGTTGGTGTATAAATTAACAGTAAAAATGAATAATAATTGGCTATAGTTTGTCCCTCACATAGGATGATTCTACCTTTAATTGAGTGACTATGATCACATTCGCACCAACAGTGACACACCTTCAGTCAGTTCTTTTCAATTACCTGGTGAAATCTACAGGTATTTCTCATGTCATTCTCTCACCTTACTCCAGTGGCCACGTCAGGTTAGGTTCAGAGTTCTTCACCCCCAAGTCACCACACTGGAATGTCCGCAGATATTAACCGATCTCTATGGCATTGTTTTCCCTTCAGGTGTGGAGGGTCTGTGGTGTGCCAGTCAGGGTTCTTCACTGTAATTTTTGCGGTCTGTGTGGTGAATATGGTGGTGGTGACGAGGCAGGGATGGTGTGGTGGTGGGAGATATTGGCTTAGATGTGGTCATGTTATCAAGGCATTGTTGTATTATTGCTGTATTTTTGTTGTATTTTTTGTTATTTTTATTATGGGATATTCTAAAAGATCTACATAATTAATGGTTCTTAATCAGTGACTGGTAGTGGTTATGACGGCGGACTGACAGTGATTGTGACGGTGTTGATTGGGTTGTTGAAGACGTTAAGCACGAAACGATTGGTAACGGAGGGGGTAATATAGTTGATTAAAACGAGAGGTGGAGAGTGAGCGATTGGGTGGGTGTTGGTCCACACAGGTAGAGTTAATGGTGCGTTGGATGATAGTGTGGTTAACCGCGGGGCACACGGGGCGGGGCGGGGAATTAGGTGATTATTGAGGAAATGGGCCCCTTGTCCTAATAGCCCCCTCCCCCTCCTCTCTCCCTCCCCCCTTCCCATCTCTCCCCCCTCCTCTCTCCCTCCCCCCCTTCCCATCTCTCTCTCCCTCCTCCATCCCCCTCTCTCACCCCCTCCTCATGCTACTGGACCCCCATCATTATGAAGTTGTAATAACATGTTTTTGTGCGTGGGTGAGTTCTTAGGGGTTCATGGATGGGTTCTAGAATGGGTTCATGGATGGGTTCTTTAGGGGTTCATGGATGGGTTCTAGAATGGGTTCATGGGTGGTGCGTTGTCTTGGCGTTGACTTGAGATCTAGGTAAGCTGAGGAGGTGGGAGGGGGAGAGGTTATCCAAGAAAAGTGTTGAAATTTAGGTTAAGTTAAGTTATAGGCTAGGTTAAACTAAGGTATAGGTTAGGCTAGGTATAGGTTAGGTCAGGTCAGGTCAGATCAGGTCAGGTCTAAAGCTTCTCTTACTGATGTATAATATCAGTTGACCATCTTTCATTACTAAAGGTGTCTGTGTGTCTGTCTGCCTGTGAGTATCTGTCTCTTATCTGTCTGTCTATCTGTCTATCTGTCTGTCTGTGTGTGGTTACGGGTGCATTATTAGCCTGGTAAGTAAACAGTAAGGACAGTCTTGAATGCATCCCTTGTATAGTACATTAGGAGTGTGACCTGCAGCCTGTGTGACCTGTAGCCTGTGTGACCTGCAGCCTGTGTTTGACCTGTAGCCTGTGTTTGACCTGTAGTCTGTGTTTGACCTGTAGCTTGTATGTGACTGCAGCCTGTGTGTGACCTGCAGCCTGTGTGACCTGCAACTTGTGTGTGTGTGACCTTTACAGTTGTTTGTTGACCAGGTTCACAGTGGTTCCTAATAAGGAGTAATTGGCTGACTGGGAGATGATGGTACAGTATATATTATTAACAAGGGTATTTGCCAGTACTAAGCCTTGGGTATTAATCTTTGCTTTGTATGTTAGTTAGTATGGGACTTTGGTGCTATGTGTTGGGTGATTCTGGTGTCTTAGTTTAATATACTTTCTCTCTTGTATTTTTATTTTTATTATATGTATTTCTCTTTAAAACAAAATTCTAGTAGATTTATTTTCACCAAGAACTGTTTTGATAATTTGAAAATATTTGAGTATTATTTTTTGTTTATATTTAATGGTTATATAAATATTTACCCCCCGTGTGTTGTTGTTCTTGATAATAAAGTTTCTTCCCTGTGTTGTGGGCGCAGGGAGAACCACTGTGAAATCGAACGTCGGCGTCGGAACAAGATGACGGCTTACATCGCGGAGCTGAGTGACATGGTCCCCACCTGCTCCGCCCTCGCCCGCAAGCCTGACAAACTCACCATCCTCCGCATGGCCGTCGCCCACATGAAGGCTTTGAGGGGTGAGTACCAACCCTGTCTCCCTGTCTTCTCTCTCTCTCTCTCTCAGACATTCTCTCCCTCTCTCCCTCACCCTTCCTTCTATCCTCTAACCCCTTCTTCACACCTTCCCCCATCCACCACCTTCTCCTAATGATTCTACCTAATCTTCACCGCCTGTTCTACCACCATCAACCACAATGTGTCTACCACAACAACTATGTTTGTATGTACAGAATGTATAGTCTCGTGATGGTTTTGTCAGGTGTCGTCTTCAATGCAGTGTGTCGACCTTCATATACCTCCTGCCACGTGATGTATGTACAGGGGTATGTATGTATGTATGTATGTATGTATGTATGTATGTATGTATGTATGTGTATACCGCGTGTACTGTGTCGCCAAGATAATAGCACACCGTAAACACCACACGCCGCCATTAGTTACTTCTCAGTGCGCCTCGAGAGTTGGATTATAGAGTAACACCCTCTTAACTGTTGCACCACCTCGTATTGGCAGTATATTCAGCCCTTCCTGATATATTTACACCATTGCTGCACCATTACACTGTTCCTCCTATGTGTACACCACTATCAGTACACTATCTTCACATCAAACGCCATTAAAATGTATCTTTGTTATCTATTCTGTCTAATTGTGTTGAGTTAATTCCCCCTGGAGGGTTGTATATATGTAAGTAATATCTGGTGTGTGTGTGTGTGTGTGTGTGTGTGTGTGTGTGTGTGTGTGTGACGGTAAGCCTGCACATGTGACTACTTGATGGAGCACATGTTCGTCACACATCAGGCATCTCTCACTCTTCTAACGTCATCGGAACACTTGTGTGTCAACTTGAAGTATATCGATTTTGACACGTGTACCCTGACACCTGTACCACCAACACCACACCTGTGACGCTTGACTATTGCTGTTAATAACTACCATTCAACACCACCACACACCACTGGTTACAAGTAATCCTGTAATAACTACAACCACCACCACTATAATAACTGTTGCCATAAATACCACAACACCACATACTACCGTAACTGTGACATAACTACAACTATAACCATCATAACTATCATAATTGTAACCACAAGATCTCGGCCACACAGGAGAGCGGTCAGCAGCCGACACAGGCGCCCGGGTGTTGACACTGTGTATGCCTATCAACCGTAAGAGCTTTACCCACTTACCCCGACGCAGTGTATGGGTCTGTTGTATAGGATGTCACGCCCTCAGCATTATACCCTCGCTCCTCACCTCTCACTAGTACTAACATACATATACCACTGCTTGTACCCGCTACTCGTATTGGCTCCCAGGTACCGTCCTTACTACTGATATAACGAATAGTAACATCATTTTTGCTTTGGTTCAGACATTAATGTTGTTGTGTTTTGAATGAGAGTTAGGGCTGTGTCAACCTATATGTTAAGGTCTTCTTTGATGTTAACCAAGGTCGTTTAGATACCAGGTTGTATGTTAGTATATATCCAGGAAGATATCATGCGACATCCCTGTGTGAGGTGTAATACAGTAGGGTGTGTTGTGGGTGTGTTTCTTATAGTTGTCCCTCGAGGTTGTGTGGAGTTGTAAGTCACAGCATGTTTTGGTGTTATTCCTAATAAATCTCTGATAATTGTCGCGGTGCTTTTAATGTTATGAGCGCGATTAAACAGTAGAGCGAGGGACGTGTTGGTGGTGGGGGGGGAGGAAGTCAGGTATCGTAATTATGTGCGAAGGAAGTAGTTTGTGTTGGTGGGGGTGGATAACGCCGTTTATGATGGTTTACAACATTGCACACTTAGTAAGATAAAAACTGTGATTATTTCTAGTGTGATGAAGTGTGAATGGCAAGGGGATCGAATTTGTCAAGAGGATGAATGTTTGGTTTATCCGTCTGTCTGTTCCATCGCTCACACACAGGCGGTATATTTTTAAAAACACAAATATAATTAATTAATCCTTGGCATAATTATTTAACTGTGGAACACATATATAAATAAGTTTGTCAGGGAATATAATTATCACCGTGTTTATATTTTTTTATTTATTTATTTTAATTTTTTTTGCCGTTGCATCACCTAGGTTTTTTTTCAAATAGTATTCCAGTGTTTTAGAGGCATAACTTACAGCAGATGATCGTCAGTGTTGGCTGGCTACCTCCCTTCATCACTTATTGGGGCCGTGTAACCAGTGGGGTTCCCCAGGGGTCAGTACCTGGCCCACTCTTGTTCATAATCTACATAAACGATCTAGATACTGGGATCAGCAGTGACATAAGCAAGTTTGCGGATGACACCAAAATAGGGCGGCAGATTAATTCAGGGCAGGATGCAAATGCATTACAGGAGGATCTAAATAAACTGCAGGGGTGGTCTGAAAAATGGCAAATGAAATTCAACACCAGCAAGTGCAGTGTACTTAATATTGGAAGAACATATACTGATAATGTATTCAGCCTTAACAACATCAACCTAGAGAAGTCGACTTGTGAAAGAGACCTAGGGGTACTTGTAAGCCCGGACCTACGGCCTAGAAAACAGTGCGTTAATGTTCGAAATAAGGCAAACAGAGTATATTGGGTTTTATATCTAGAAGTGTAAGTAACAAGAGTGCAGAGGTCTTATTGCAACTATATCTTGCGCTAGTCAGGCCGCACCTCGATTATGCGGTTCAGTTCTGGTGCCCCTATTATAGAATGGATAAATTCACTAGAGTCGGTGCAGCGAAGAATGACAAGAATGATTCCGGGACTTAGACACCTTCCATATCAGGATAGGTTAAAGAAACTTAACTTGCATTCCCTAGAAAGACGAAGAGTGCGGGGAGATATGATAGAAGTATTTAAGTGGGTGAAAGGAATCAATAAAGGGGATATAGATAAAGTTCTTATAATATCTGAGCAGGATAGGACTCGGAGCAACGGATTCAAGTTGGATAAGTTTGGGTTTAGGAGGGAGATAGGAAGAAACTGGTTCACAAATAGGGTGGTGGACGAGTGGAACAAGCTTAGCAGCTTTGTAGTAAGTGCGGGAACTCTGGAAAGTTTCAAAAGGAGGCTAGATAGATTCATGGATGATAGAGAGTGGTAGTAACTGTCGACAGGAGCTGCCATGCACAGGCCAACCGGCCTATTGCAGACTCCTTATGTTCTTATGCCCATCATCTTTAACTTCACCCGGCGTCTGTCTCTCGTATCTGGTGACTTGACTGTGACACGACCTACCCCTACTGAAGAAGGTGCTCCGCGGGTTCCTGAGTGTGTACGTGTATATTATTAATCGTGGAACTTCTTCAGGTGAGTTGGGGGAGGTAGGGGTGAACACGTCCGTGACCTTGTTCGTGTACTTAAGTGTTTCCTCCCGGTCCTTGATTAAATAAGGTATATTTTGGATATGTGTCTGGGTGATGTATGGGGTGTATAGTTAATGAGTGTGGTGATGGGCGGCGGAGGTGTGGTACTGGACGAGAGGGGTGTTGGTGTCCTGGCCATCACACTGATTTATTGGAGAGGTTAAAGGAGAAGAGAGTTGAGAGTGTGTCTGTGAGTGTGTCCCCTCCCTCCCTATTATAGACATTTATTCATTCTTTAGTGTTGATTCTTAGTACCGTCCTCCTCCTCCTCGTGATCACCACAACTGGGTATAATGTGTGTGTGTGTCTGTCTGTCTATACTTGTGTGTTTCTCTCACCATATAACTCACACTTTCCAGACACTATCGCATCATAAGTTGTGTGATTATAGTTTTGTACAAATGATACGTTGTGTGTTGAGGGGTATGATGGCGCTGACAGTTTACAACCTGGAATTTATGAAATTTTCTGTTTCCTCCTCGTTGAGTTGAGTTTTTTCGAGCTCTTAATCCAAGTCAGTATAAGTCATTTATAACTTTAACCTAAGTCGCCATTTTCTCATTTCTCTCCATCTTATTGTCATTTTTTCCCCGTACTAAAAACTCATATTTACTTCACTAGATTATTTTCTTTTTTAAAATTTGTGTGGTCGTAAGTTAATACAAAATACAGACCAAAGTACTGTAGTATTGTTGTAGCCAGACTGTTAACACGTCCCTGTATTTTCTGTCTCGCCTTGTACCAGTCTCCAGGTTGTTTACACTAACAGAGCTCCACTTACGCTTATTGAATACGATGGTTGTAAACATTGGATAAATTGTCTCGTGTATAAATACATTACTAGGTTCGTCCTCCAGATGGCGTGTTCTGGTCACAGGTATTGACTGTGTGTGCGCTGTGGTCGTAAAAGAAATTAGCAAAATTTTTCCCAGAAATTAAAATATAGGACAGAGTCTCAAATTCCATGGATGGCGTGTTTCACTCCCTGGCATCGACTGTATGATGTGGTCTTAAAAAAATGGGAGAAAATGCCACAGAAATTAAACATTGACGGAATTGTCTCGGAAATGTGAAATTATTATAGAAGGTGGTGAGGTGAGGTGGCGTGTTGCTGGTCCTCAGTAATTGGTTCATTATCCTGGAAAAGTGAGAATAATTTTTTTACGAGCGGCAGTGATGACGACGGCTATGAAATAATAATAACGCTCACGTGATTCCTGACTTGAGTCACTTCTACCTGGCGTTCCTCACGTGTAATGTGGGCCGTGTTGTGTGCCGTGTACAGCACTGTGGGCCGTGTTGTGGGGTGTACAGCACTGTGTGCCGTGTACAGCACTGTGGGCCGTGTTGTGGGGTGTACAGCACTGTGGGCCGTGTTGTTTGCCGTGTACAGCACTGTGGGCCCGTGTTGTGGGGTGTACAGCACTGTGGGCCGTGTTGTGTGCCGTGTACAGCGCTGTGGGCCGTGTTGTGTGCCGTGTACAGCACTGTGGGCCGTGTTGTGGGGTGTACAGCACTGTGGGCCGTGTTGGGTGCCGTGTACAGCACTGTGGGCCGTGTTGTGTGCCGTGTACAGCACTGTGGGCCGTGTTGTGGGGGTGTACAGCACTGGGCCGTGTTGTGGGTGTACAGCACTGGGCCGTGTACAGCGCAGTAT